TATATATTATTGGTTTTTTTTTTATATGAAGTCATTGGTGGACCGGATTGAAGTCACCTATGGGCTGAAAATGGCCCATGGGCCACCAGTTGAATTTACCTGATCTACATTAAATAGAGTATGCTAAGTTTTAAGCAAAATGAGAGGCAACAAAAACAATATTTTGCATTTAAAATATTGTCTTGAGGGTCAAATAAGATGTTAATAAGGGCCAGATTTAGCCCTCAGGCCTCGAGTCCAACATGTGATGAATCAAGAAGAAAATTACACAAAGGACATTAACACTACGGGTCATGTTAAAATCTAAGAGCTTAACATGACACCAAATGTTTTCTTTTGCAATGAAATGATTTTCACCAACAGCTTGTTTGAATTAGTGTCAAGTGAAACCTGTATTTATTTTGTTCTACACGTCCGTGTCACTCTGAGCAAACGTCAAAAACCTGTAAAAGCACAACCTCACCTGACAGGTTCCCTCCAAGTGTTGAAAACAAAACACTACTGAGAACAGAGCGAGCGAGCGAGGTTATCTAACAAACTAGAACAAACCAGCGATGAGAAATTTGAAATAAGACACTCGGGGGTCAATGGCGTGTGTTGCACAAGCATTAATAAATCACTTGAAAAAGAAGGGAAGCGTGTTTTTTAAATCCAAGTTATGCAGATAATTCTTAAGAGTCATAGAACTCAGACACGTGAGTGTGAGAGTTATATTTAGTAATATCACTAACAACTGAAAGATATTTCAATGGGAGGGATCATTCACAGTTAAAACACATTTCAGCTCATTTGTAGAGGGGGCAAACTCCTGACCCTGGTGACCCTGTTAGCTCTGATGCCCCATTGGACCTTTCCCTCCTGATATAATTTGAGCGCTGCTTTAGCATTTTAAAACGATTATTCTGAAAATCTTTGCACACAAATTGAAGAGTAAAGTGTTTAATTATTTAAAGCGCAGTTGTTCACCCGCCACCCACCATATTTCATGTCATAGTGTCCAACTGTGACAACTTTAAAGTGAGAAGAAACAGAGTTATAGCTGTTTTGGTATGACGTTGGGCATGCTCCCGTGCGATTACGGCGATATCATAAGATGCGTCTGTTCATGAAGAATGTGTTGAGGACAACTCTCAGCTACTACCACACCAAATCTTTGCTCAATAACTGTAAAACTGACTGAGCTAAAAGTATTTTTGTGTTTGCAAATGTCGATTAGCTGTGGCGGCCATCTTGAATTGGGGCAACTCCAGTAGTTAATCAATTGTAGATGTACATCCAGTGATTACTTTCTGAAAATTTCATTAAAACCCAAACAATGCTTCATGAAATATTTTGCTAACAGACAAACACGCAGACACTGGCAATCATATTATTGTGTCATCTGACAGTTTTTGTCAAACAACAACTATACGGAACAAACACTAAATAAGAGACTATTAAAATAATTCACATTAATGCAACAGTGCCCTCCTCAACAATTTGATTTCTAACTTCCTGTCTGATGGTAACTTCTTGTGGATCATGACATCTTGTGTCATAAGCTCTCAGAAATTGGTTTTTCAGCTCACACCATTGGTTGGTTCACTAACTATATCTTTCAGACCTAAGGCGATGTGTTCAACATAATGGTACTTCCTCCAGTTATTTAACAGTCAACAGTGGTGTACCACAAGGCTCAGTCTTAGGACACACACTCTTTACATTCTACATAGGTAATGTAAGTCAAAGCATCCTTGATGCATCCTTAAATTTCTATGCTGATAACACAGTTGTTTATTGTTGAGCTAAAACCGTTAAGGTTTTCCAGCTTTTGCAATCCGCCTTTGACATCATCCAGTCAGATTTGTTCTGCCTCAAACTCTTCCTAAATGCCAACAAAACCAAAGGGATGCTGTTTTCAAACAGGACGTCGATCCCAGCGGTTCTTCCTTTGATTTTATCCTCGAATGGTGACTCTATTGGGTTTGTCGATTCCTACAAATATTTGGGTATCTTGGTCGATTCGCTTCCCTTTTTTAAGCCCCACGTGGAAAACTTGGTAAGGAAACTGAAAGTTAAACTGGGTTTCTTTTTCAGAAATAGATCCTGTCTAACTCTGAATGTTAGGAAACACCTTGTAACTGTGACTTTCCTCCATTGATTACGGTGACATTATTTACATGAAGACTCCTACAAGCACCCTGCATATATTTGACACAGTCTATCATGGTGTATGTATCAACAACATAGCTGTTTTTTGTTACATTTATTTTAATACCATTTTATTTTCACTTATTCTCAATTTGTATGCATCCTTTTATGATTATTGATTGATGTCTTTGTTGTCCACTGTTGTCCTCACTCTCTGTTAAAACCAGGTCTCTCTTGTAAATGAGTCCCTGAGACTCAATGGGATTAACATGTATAAATAAAGGTTGAATGAACCGACCTGGTGGGACTCCTGAGGAAATGGTGGAGGACGATAGTTGGCCCTGGCCCTTGGAGGTCATTCCTGCCACCTCGATGGTGTAGGTGGTGAGAGCGGTGAGCCCTGTGACCCTGTACTCCAGGGTGACGTTGGGCAGGTAGTGGGTGACTCTGGTGTTCGTCCGGTTGAACTCCTCCCACGAGATGCGATAACCTGAGGAGCAGCAGAGATTGGGTTACCGGAACGAACCGAGCATCCTCTCAGAGGAAATTCTTCAGTAGTTTTACAACAATAGCAACTCGGCTCGACGCTGTGGGGAAAGCTAACAGAAATATTAAATTAACTTCATCAAAAATTGAATATAGCAAATTTAATCAGCCAGTGATTACACTTCACTGCACTCACACATCCTCTACACACTTCCACAGACACACACAGAAATGACCCCCCCACACACACACACACACACACACACACACACTCACCCTCTCAAAGTTAATGTAATTTGCTCCTTGGCCAGCAGCTTTTTTCATGTGATTGCATAAAGCATTAAACAGCATTTCTTGCCAAATCAGTAATCTCACATGGTGTGTCAGTGTTTGTCTCCTGGGAGTATGAAGCACGTTAAAATGACCGGGCAAACACATTTAACAACATTCTGTTGACTCCGAAGGTTTGCAAAGATTCTTCTTTACCATTTGTCATTCGGTAGAAATGACAGCATGTATGTATAGACCTAAAACACAACGTATAACATCAAAGAGTACATTCGGTTGTGCATAAGGAATAATAGAGCATTCGAAAAACAAATTCACATGGAAATGTTCAGACTTTGAAGTCAAAGAGTTAGGCCAGAGTTCCTTAATAGTTTGTTTGACGCTGACGTGAAAAGGACAGATCAAACTCCAAAAGTGTGGGAGTTCCAGTTTCTTGCACAGGGACACTTCAGCATATGACTGCTGGTGGAATAGAACCCCCAACTCTCCCATTGGAGAACGACTGCTCTAACCACTCAGCCCCAGCTGCCCCTAATTTAAAGAGCTGCTTATCCAACTTGAAGTAGTGGAAGCAGTTTGGTCATAAAGAACAGACAACATATCCAATGGCTGGATGTATCGAGCTCATGGAGACCTAACTGAAGAAGACGAGTTAAATCATGTCATCTGGACAGTTTCTTTTTGAAAGAAACATTGTGTCTTTTATCTGAAAGACTTCATCAGTCTGAGGCCTGCCAACAAGACCCGTCGTATTAAACAGCACCTTTTAATGTGTTTCAAACCGGTCTCCCAGAAACTGCTATACATGTGGGAAAAAGGAGGACCATCAGTCTACTCTAAAACAACTGATCATCAGTGCTAACTGAAGAGCCTTGGTGTAATTGGTTCTACAAAGTACTGACTACAAGGAGGCATACTCAGGTTTGGAGGTCGACCAGTAGAAGTCCTATGGCTGATACAGATGACAAACTTAGGAAACCCTGGCAGCTGATGGCTGATATACATCATCAATTTCTTATTTAGTAATTAAGTATTGGCTTTTATGTACGTGAATGTTTCTGTAAAGTGCCCTGAGACAACTTTGTTGTGATTTGGCGCTATTTAAATAAACTGAATTGAATTGAAAAAGTACAACCATGACCGATGATCGAAGGTGGACAATACTGGCAAAATGAAATCTATCCCTACTCAGGTTTTTAAGGTTTCTGATTTTATTCATTGTTTGCTTCATATTATTTAAGAGCGAGTATACAGCGTGCTTTGTCTGTTTACATTTGCAGGTTCACCTCCCGCCTGGGACCTTTCTGCTTTCTTCTGGGGTTTCTAGGAGTACTCTATGTTCCTCCTACAGTCCAAAAACATGCATGTTAGGCTGCCTTCAGGCCCAAGCTTACCTTAAAAAAAGACATCTGTAATCTCAACTGAATTTGATTAAGTAAAGGTTAAATGATAATAATAAAAGATCCACATAACCCCCTCATGAGGATCATCTCTTGCTTTTTTGTGACGCTTTATAGACTAAACTATCATTTCTCAGTTTGCACACCAAAATGGCCTTCATTTCTCTTCTTTATCTGCTGGAAAAAAAAAATGAATTGAGTCGTGTAGAACACAGGTGGCCTTTTTGTGGTAGATTTACTGCGCAGACTGAGCTTGTGAGATGAGAAAATGTTCTGTTTTCCCGTGGAATACTTATTGAAAGACGTTCTAATACTTTCTGACAAGCGTTGTCTCACTGCAGCAAGGGCATGTTCGGTACTTTGCCTGGGTGGAAGGAGGTGCATGACTCAAATAAAATAAACAACAAATATTACTGTAGCTCCCATACGCCGAGCGCAGTAAATGAGGTCAAGCAGCCGTGGTTTCATCTCTCACCATCGGCTCTTGAGATTGGTTTTGTTCGACAGCGCTCCAACAATCAGAAACTTGGAAAAAAAAAAACAACAACTACTTTTCACTTTCCCTGCTTTGCTTCGAGTTAAACTTGTGAAAGTGCGCAGAACGTACCTGTGAGGACGCCGTTCTTCTCACCAGGCTCGCTCCAGCTGACTTTGAGCGAGGTGTCCAGGATCTCGGTGAAGCTAAGGTGACCGACGGCACCGGGGGCTGCATGAGAAAAATAAGACCAGTGAGAGCAGCCGAATGGTAAACGAGCCACTCTGCACACTCTGATCTACGGTTTATTCTTCATGATAGCCATGTTTGGATTTTATTCTTATTTCAAAATAAACTTTTGAAACGAGTTTTTACAGCTAAGACATTTCCTAACTGTGATGATCGTGGTTGAACACAGAACACATTCATTAGCATCTCTGTAGAGCTTCGTTCTACATGAATAATAGATTTTGCCAAAAGGACGCGTTACTGCGAGACAACTGTGCCAGCTCGATAGAGGGAGACGAGTGGAGGAAAAATGTCTTACTGTCCTCGTGAGTCCTCACTGCTTTAGGTGGGCTGCGGGGGCCGTCTCCAGGTGTGGTGAAGCACAACACCGAGGTGTAATACTCGGCGAACTTCTTCAGACCTGTCACGTATCCCACGTTGACGCTGTCCTGGAAGTTGGGTCGTACGGTTACCATGGTAACTTCCTCATCTTTGCCACGTTCCCAAGCCAGCAACTAAAAATGAAAAAGAAAAAAGAGAAAGGCACTCAGACAGTGGAAAGAAAAGCAGTTCATGTTTGACAGTTCTAACACAAGTCGAGATGATCTCACAGGAATTGTTTGCTTTCAAGGTTTCCTTAAATATATTAAGAAAATTGCCCTGATGAGAAACATACTGCGTGTTTATGACCTCTCATATAAAAAGAGCCAACATTAAATTTGTTACTTATTGTATCTCTAAATTAAAATGGTAAAACTGTGAGAAAATGGTGAAACTAAAAACGAGTTTTCATCCGAGTATCACTGAATTGAAAACATTCTGTCAATTCACCCAAAGCTCAAATTAAATAAAACAAAAATCAGCTCTAAAAATAAAATCTTATTAAAATAAACACAGTTACTTTAACAGAATAAAATAAGTAAATATGTTTTATTGAACATCAGATCTCTTTCCTTTAAATCCCTGCTGGATAATGACCTGATAACTGATCACCATATTGATTTAATCTGACAGAAACCTGGCTAAAACAGGAAGCTTACGTTAGTATAAATGAATCCACTCCACCTAATTATTTACATTTTCATTCAACTCAAATAAATTTTTTTAATTTAAATTTGCACAAGGAAGCTGAACCAGAACAAAATGTGAAAGGAGCCGTAAAAGGTTGTAAAATGAGCTCAATTCATTTTATATGATGGAAAAAAAAGGCAGAACAGGCTAAATATTTCAAACAGCTAAAGTTGCACAAATACCAAAAACAAATCAGGATTGTCCTGAAAGAACTGAAGGTTTTGATTTATGATTTATTCAAATAAGTTCAAAACTGCAGGACGAGAATCGTGTTGAAAAATCTACGGAAGAAAAATGGATCACAATAGTGTGAATGCTTCATAAACTTCACACTATTACTATTCCAAATACGTTTACTTGGGCTTTGCCTGCACAGTACTAATAAAAAAACAGACATAAAAAAATATATTTTTATGATGCAGCTCCTTTTAAATTGAATTCTTTGTTCTGTTGTGACTGAAGCAAATATTTTATTTTTCAAAAAAGGGCAAAAATTGGCAAATTCAGCCAACTCAACCATTTTACCCCTCATTCCCAGTTAGAAAGCTTCTGGTAAATAAAGTCTAAGCATCAGAATGTCACGAGGATGAATGTTTATCTGTCTGCCACACCAGTTTCTTTAAAAAAAAAAAAAATTCTCCACAGAATAATTTTTACTGTTTAGTTTTTTTTGTCCCTGAAGTTGTTATTTGACACAGTTTCTGTCAAAATCCCCCCTTTTTTCTTTTCCTTTTCTCTTCTTAAGCCTTTCACCCTGGAGAAAAACCTGGTATTTGAAATTTAGATTTTATTTTATAGTTTATTTTTAACACCAGCTGTGTATGTTTTCACAACCCCCACCCAAAAAAAGAAAGAAAAACAGACCACATCAAGGAGGTACAAACACCTGGTAACTTAGAGCTCAATGCAGTCAGTAGAATAATAAAACTCCTTTTGTCTCCTTCAAGTGATGAATCAAGCTCTGCGCTGACAGTTCAGTTGTGGTGGCGCCGCGGGGGGGGGGGGGGGGGGGGCTACTGACCTTGTAGCCCTGGTTGATGCCGTTGATAAACTGAGGGTTCGGAGCGGTCCAGGTAAAACGGATAACTGTGGAGTTGACCGCCTCGCCCTGCACGTTGCCTGGAGCGATGGTCGGAACTGGGATGGATGATGCGAGGAGGGGAAAAAGAAAGAAAAAAAAACAACAAGGGTGTGAGAGTGACTTCCAGCTGATGGCTAGAATGCCTGCATGTGTTTTGTTGCCAGTATTGATTGCTGCTGCGCAGGTCAGGACAGATGTGGCCATCACTCTCTGTCTGACACCTCCACCTAATCGCAGAGCTCTTGGGGAGCTCGCTCCTGACTGGGAGAGCTGCTTATGGATTTCAGGTTATGTCATACTTTTATGTGGTCCTTATAAATGTCAGTTTCTGTAGTTTTTGATCAATGATTTCAGCCCAGAATTATGCCTGTCGCAATAAACAATAACTCGATTAATCGCATGAAAAATGAAAATTATTGACCTCATTTTCATTTATCGACTATCGTTTCTTCGTGTCTCTCTCTTTCTATTGGCCACTGGATGACAAAAGGCTCGACTCCGGTGCTCTTCACTGACCCTTCCCTTTTTCTTTTCTCTTTAAAATCTGTTTGAACCGTACAAAATTGCGCTTTTGGATCGCTAAAAGCAGCTAAGCTACGAGCTAAGCTAACAGGCCGACCTTGGGAAAAAACCTCCATCTTGTCGAAGCTCCAAAATTCAGTTGAAACCCGTGCCTTTGTGTAAAAAGTTGTTTTTTCCTCTTCAAAAAGAAGCTGAGAACTTGTTTACTGATTTTTTAAATTATAAGCTTTGTGTGAAAAATGCTATGCTAAAGAGCTCAAACCACACCGAGCAACTGCCATTTTGAGAACCGAAAAACAGGAACGAAAGACAGCCCATGTCACGTCAAGGGGCCTCCCTCCCATTTTTCTTAAAGAAACGCGCTCCTCACTCCCTCACTATCCATCCTTCGGTTCACTCTTATACTGCCATCCAGTGGTCGAAAAAAGGTACTACACACAAAAATTAACCAACATTTTTCTTAAATTTGGCAATAATTACTAATTATTGACAACCAATAGCCAGGCAAAATTTATTATCATGACAGGCCTAGCCAGAATACTTGAAATTAAAGGTCTAGCAGTCCTTAAAGGAATGCATGCGTTTTCACCGGCTGAGTTTTAACCTAAGCTCATATTATGATGAGATGGAGCGGAGTAATAGTGTTTTAGCTTCAGCGGATGTGTCGTGAAAACTTTTCCTTCAACAACACACATTGCCTCATACCTGCAAACCTGACTGAGCTTTAACCCATTTTGTGATCGCTACGGCTGATTAGCTGCAGAGAACATCTTGAATAGAGTTGACCACAAAATATCATTTTTACCTTAGATAGTGAGCCAGATGCAAAAAAGTTCAAAATATGATACTTCTGTTTATCCTTAGAGACAATTCTGCACTTGTCATGTATATTTTCTACATTTTGTTCATCTTGCACACGCATTAAGCTGATATTAAGATTCAGTCAACGCAGCATCTAGTTTGTTGGTAAAAAGCTCAAAGGCTCACCTCCCTGAAGAGTCCACTCGGTGACTTTATGGCTGAAAGACCCCAGTCCTGCCCCGTTGTAGGCAGCCACCTCGATCTCATAGTTAGTCCAGATGATGAGGTCCTCCAGCAGCAGGGTGGTCACATCCGAGCTGGAGATGTTCTTCGTCTGGTAGTCCACAGGCAGCCCAGTGAGACGATAACTAAAATGCAGATTCATGGCATTTAAATATTGCAAAACCTATTCCAGGTTAATTTTATTTTTTCCCCACCAACAGATATTAGTTATCTGCTGCAGTACACTAACATCCCTGCTAGGGGGAGACAAAGCCCCAGAAAACAAGTAGGTTCTGGAATATCATGAACCGCACTGACCTGTCTGGAAAACACCTGCGGTTTCATGTGGATGTAATGAATAACAAGCCTGACAGGAAAACCAAGCTAATTATATGTTCAGAGGATTTACAGTCAGTTTGGCTTATTGCTGACTTCGCCTGTTAGAGTAATCAAAGTTTGTTGAAGTCAACCCAAATCCAAAGTTTTCTTTTTATACAACGGCCGTCTTTGGCTGAAGAGATGTCACATTTTAAAAGCAAGCGAGCCAGGGTAAAAACAGGTGAGAGCGCACTTACAGTAGTATCCTGTATTTTTTTGTAACTTGTTTTGTTTGTTTGTATCCGTCTGTTTTAAGAAATTTCAGCCAAACTAATTTTCAACACAGCGCCTCAGATGTAACCTAAAAAGATGGAAAGACAGAGAGGTGCACGACACGAGTGGGGATTTTACCGGATGATGTAGCCCCTGAGGATGCCGTTCTGATGGCTCTCCTGTGGCGGCTGCCACTGGATCATGATGGACTGGTTGGTCCTGCCGCTGGCGATGACGTTCTGAGGAGGGGCACTGGGGGGCTCCTCTGGGAGGGACACACTGCAAACACACACATGCAAAGATGGATGGAAAACAAAGGTGAATTTTCAAATTTTCACCTGTTTTACATTTCTTCATGAATGCCCTCCACCAAATATCTATGTGTCTGTTAGCAATATATATATAAAACAAACACTAGATGCATTTTAATGAAGCTTCCAGGAAATAATCATCTACAATGAACAAACTTTTAGTGTACACTCCATTCAAGATGGCTCCTACAGGGGATGAGATAATTGGCGGTGACCAAATGGAGACATTGACACGTTCTGTGCTGCCCCCACTGTAACAACCAGGCCGAGACCCCCTCGAGAGTTTCCTCCATCGAGGGAGCCCGGAGCATGAAGTGGTGTGCCAGACTGGTGGACAGCAGGGAGGAGGTGAAGGAAGTAGTGCTCCACAGAAAGGCCAGAGCTGATCTCCCCTCAGACGTAAATCCCTCCTGCAACTTCCTGTGTGTTTAACAGCCTGCGTGTGGATGAAGGTGAGTTTTTGAGCTTCTTGTCCATTTACGCACAGTTGATCCTTTTTTACTGACTCTGGCCTGACGAGACAAGTCCGACTTCTCTAAAACCGAATTTAAAGTGAACTTTGCACTAATTAATATTTATCCAACGAAGGATTCTTGTGATACATCAGATAAGAACATTGTGCTATTTTACATTTTAAAAAACAGATGATTCTAATCTTGGTGTTTCTCAGCAACAATCATGAGGACGTAGCTTGACGAGCAGGTTAGTGGAACGATGAAGACATTTGTTAGAAATAAAAGGCAAAGAAAAGCTGTTAATTGTTAAAACGCTCCATGTCTGAGGTTTCTGTAAAAATAAAATCCAAGTGTTTTCTAAGGTGCCTGGACTAAACTACACGACTAAAATGTTCAGCCAGGAGTTTTAGTTTTATGCCTTTGGCAAAAACCTCAGCTAGCACCATCGTATTTATAGGTTGTCCAAATGTCAATTCATCTCAAACTCATGAAACTTCTATGCAGTAACTTATGGAAACCATCAGTTGAACTCAAGAAAGATGCTTCAAAATTCACATGAATCACACAAGGTCATTTCCCCACTGTTAGAAATTTCCAAAAGTACCTGTTAAAATGATAAAATCATAATAAAGTGAGAAGCTAAATGTAAATTACAAACAATATATTTCACAGTGGAATCAAAATGTTTATCATAAGGGAAAAGTGTGACCATATGGTCAAATAAAAGCAGTGGTGGCTCCATAGACTTCATGCTGCGGTGGGCAATATGTGTGAAGACAACATGCTTTAGCATCTTTATAGCACATTTAAACCAGTTTCTAGTTTTGTGGTTACAGCTTTGGAAGCGCCAGTTGCTCAGATGGTCACCAGTATTGACCGATTTTCAGTTTGATAGGACATTCAAAAAAAAAAAAAAAAAATCACATTTTGTTTCCTGGTCATTGAACACACCATAGCTGGCAGCTAATTGATGCTAACAACAAGGCATCGTCAGCGTAGAGGTTTGTACTGAGAAAAACAAAAAAAGCTGTTTGTAATTTCTGTTAGTCGTCTAAAAGTTAAAGTCAGAGGAAACTCAAGAGGTGACAAAAAATAAATTAAACTTAAGGAGGCACATTTCCTGCTTACTTTACTTTCACTTAAACAGGTGACATGCATACAGTAGTTCTGTTTTACTTTGTCAGACCCAAAATCTACAACGGGATAAAAGTTTATTGTGTTTTCCTCGAAAGTCTCAACTTGAATCAAGAAACATCAGCAACTTTACTGTGTTCCAGTTCAAACTATGTACTAAAAGTTGTGCTAAGTAACTTTATGTTAGCATTACATGTCGATTGCGTCATATTTCTATGGATTCAAACACTGTAGCAGTCGTGCTCACAGGACAATAAATCACAATAAATCAGTGGCGATTTATTGAGAAACAAACCGAAAAGTTTATTTCTGCATCTATACCAGATGTGGGCAACTGAAGGCCCATGTGCTAAAAGTGGCTCTTGGGCTATCTCCATCAGGCCCCAGTATCCTTAGTTTACAAAAAAAAAAAGATTAATAATAATAAAAAAAAATTTAAAAAAAGCAATCTATCAACAAGACTTAAGGAAATTCAAAATTTAACATCTTACGCAAAACTTTTTTTTTTAAAACACTTTAAAACATTTGGGAGTTGTTCCAGTAAAAATTTTGGACTTGGAACATGGAAATTTTAACTTCTGAGTACTAATTACACGCGCCACATCGTTTTTAGCTGTACAGTACTTTCCACCGTACATGTCGCATCAATCCACAAATGTCTAATAAAGTGGAAAAAAACAACAAATATGTCGCTTCGCTGGATAAGTCGCATCTATTATGCTTCACTGCTGACCACCTGAAAATGTGCGTTGTGCCAAAAATCAATTGGTTGTCAAATGGCAGCCACGGAAGCATGCGCGAGAGGACATGAACAAGAGTTTAACAAGATTAATACTTAAAAACAATTATTTGTTTACTCGACATTATAACAAAGGTGTGTCTTAGTTGAACTTTTCCTTAATAAATTCACTTTCATGGTCAAATCAGCTGCATTTCGCCTGGGTGGTGCGGCGAAATGAGGCTGATTTGACGTTTGCTCCAGGAGTTATGGAGCGAGACGAAGGTGGCTTTGTATGGCAAGCCAAGTGTTTCATTAATAACCACTTTTACCTATTAATGAGAAACTTGGCGCTCGAGGGCCCTCTAGCGGCTGCAAATGGTAGTGTTTAATATTTTTCATGTCAGAATGAATGAAATCGTCAGATCTCGGACAAAAATTGGTTTATAAATATGGGACAAAAAAACGTATATTAGTCGCTTCCGTGTTTCAGTCGCAGGACTTGCAAATTTATGCAAAAAGGTGCGACTTATACGCTAAAAATACAGTAATTTTCATGTTTCACATTTACACAAACACGTGTCAATTATAACAACAACAATCTAATATGCAAATTACGTTTTTCTTCCAAATAAGTTGAATAAAATAAAAAAAATTTTTTGGTATAATGTCAATTCAAATTCTTAAAGAGAAATCAGAATTTTGCAAAACTGGAATAGGAAGCTGGGCAAAAAAATCTGAATTGTCTTTGAAAATGGCAATCGGTGCATTTCTGATTGTAAGTTTAATCTTTTCTGAAAAATCTAATCCACTGACAGTGGATTAACATACTGACTTTAATTTTAGTGCTTTATCGTAATATTTCGTGCACAATGCAGATTCTAATATGTGATGTTCTAACATTTCTCATGATCACAACGTTTGTTTTCTCAGTCATCCAGGTATATAACAACAAAAAAGGTTGAATCATGTCATCTGGACTTCGTTTTTTTGGTTAAAAAAGAAACGTTTCGCCCCTCATCCAAGAGGCTTCGTCAGTCTGAGGCCTAGCCATCTTAACCAAAAAAACAAAGTCCAGATGACATGATTCAACCTTTTTTGTTGTTATATACCTGGATGACTGAGAAAACAAACTTTGTGTTTTTGAAACCATTAGTGAAAAGGCCAGACTTCAGGGGTATCTGAGGCAGGCTTGAAACACAAGAGTCAGGGTGGCTTCTGGGTAATACCAGATGGCTAGGCCTCAGACTGACGAAGCCTCTTGGATGAGGGGCGAAACGTTTTTTTTTAACCAAAAAAACGAAGTCCAGATGACACATTTCTCATGATGACTGATAAAATGAGGCCCAAATAATAGAACTACTGAGGCAGCTTGTCAGAAGACTTAGGAAAGAAAATGTATGTACTCGTAGGCATGCACTTTTTTACACTGTATAAACATTAGTGGTAGATGAACCATGATGGCGGGGTGCGACAGGTGTAAATAAAAGCTCTGTCCGTTACTCACCGGTCTGTCTCTTTACTGAACTGCCCTTTCCCAACATCATTAATGGCACAGAGGCGGAACTGATAAGAGCGAGCCGGGATCAAGCCATTGACCGTCACTACTGTGGATTCTGGTTCGATACTTGCCAGGAGGATGGCCCAGGGAGCGTCTGGAACAAAGCACAATCGAAAAGTTCACACTCCGCGTGAACAACAGACACATTGTTCATTGCCACATCAAGCATTCAGCTCTTAGATCTGCTTTGATTTACTTCTTGTGAATTTCATTCAAATCTGTCCATTAGTTACTGAAATGTTTGTTAAAGCTATGAACCAGACATGGGCAACATACGGCCCGAGGGCCAAATGTGGCCCTTGGATAATCTCCAGCTGGCCCGCAAAATTCTTAATGGATTTTTTTTTTTTTTTTTTTAGTTGATGAAAATCAGCATTTGTTTACAGAAGTTTAAATTAAACCTCTTGGATACACACATCAAAAACCTTTAGATTGAGATGGGGTAAAACTTTTTTTTTTTTTTTTTTAAGTTGTGTTTCCAGAACTAGACTGAAATCTAAAGATTCCAAAAAGGAAACATATTTTTATTCATGTTTAGAATAATATAATGTCACAACAGCCAGTTTAAAGAAAATATGGAGGAAAGCTTTTTTTTTTTAATCAAGCATTCTAACTTTGCAACAAGAAGAAAAAGCTTGAAAAAAGAAGTTTTACAAATTATCTGTCTCAAAGAAAATGTATTTTTTAATTGGGGGCTGCCTTTTAAAAGGCAGACACCTATTATTATCCACATGACAAGGGTTTCTTAACTTTATATCTTACTCTTCCTTCAACTTTATTGCGGCCCGAACCACAACGTGTACCCCCACAAATGTTGTATCAGAACGACCGTCTCGGAACCACGGTGTGTTTTTTGAGTTACCATGGCGATGAATTTTGCTAACAAAGATGCCATTTTTCCCTGTAAATGCCTGACAGAACACTCCTCACACTAACGACTGCTGTGAAGTCACATGACTTAAAGTGTAGAGGTCCATGAAGGAAACGGACAGTCACTGTGAGATTTGTTTGAAACTCACGGGAAGCAATCATCAGATGCACCTCTAGAACTGATTAACGTTTGGAGACATTTTGATTCAAGATGGCTGCCATAGCTACCTCAGCAAACACAAAAATGACTGTAGCTCACTCATTCTTTAAGATATTGAAATGAAATTTGCATGCATGTAGCTAAGAGCGAATTGTTACACATTCCTAATGCAAATCAAATATCGAAGATGGCCGCCTTAGCTAAAAGAGAAAAATATGATAACTCAGCCATTTTCAGAGATATTTAGTTGAAATTTGGCGTATTGGTAGCTGAGAACAATCCCTAATAGACTCTGAATGAAAATCAAAAATCCAAGATGGCCACCTGACCTATAAAGGAAAACTACAATCAGCCAATTTTAGTCATATTGAGCTGAAACTTGGTGTGATGATAGTTAAGAACGTTTCATATCAATTGCTTCATCAAAATTAAAAATCCAAGATGTCTGCCAACACTACTTTTAAATGGCTTTCACTCAGCCATTTTTAGAAATATTGAGCTGAAATTTGGTGAGGTTATAGCTGAGAATGTTCCCTATCACATACTAATCCAAATCAAAAATCCAAGATGGCCACCTGAGCTAAAAAAGGAGAAATACTGTAACTCTGCCAATTTTAGTGATACTGAGCTGAGCTTTGGTGTGGTGATGTCTAAGAACGTTTCCCATAAAATACTGCATCCAAATCAAAAATCCAAGATGGCCACCTTAGCTAAAAAGGAAAAAATATGATAACTCTGGCTTTTTTAGAGCTATTCAGCTGAAATTTGGTATAGTGGCAGCTGAGCGCGAACCCCAACACATCGTACTGTCAAATCAGCAATTTAAGTGGGCAGTAGCCTGTTAGTCCCAATCAGATTTTCTCCAGGAACTTTCTAGTTCTCTATGCAGCCCTTAGTTTGCTTTAAATATCTTGATTTGGTCATCCCTGCTATAGACAAACAAATACACACAGTCACAAACACTGGTAAAATCATCATAGCTCTGTCACCTTCAGGAATTACACGGAAAGATGGCAAAGAAGCAATAAGGATAAACAACACAATGAAAACAAAGAGGACTTTTCGAGAGTCGTAAAAAGCCAACGTAAGATTGAAAGCAGTGATGGACATTCTTAATTAGGCTCATTGATCATGTTTCTAAATTCTGTTTGATCCGCCCATCAGTTCTCTGCATTTCAGCTGTTTGGGAAAAGCACTGGTATCAGGAGTTTTACTGGTGGAAGAAAAAAGGCTCAAACAAGAAATACTTTACATCTTTTTAACTTGGCAGCATCAGTCCCAAGAGTTAAACCCTCTATAAGCTAAACACAAATCAAAATAAATAACTGATCATTCTTAAAGTAGTCTAGTTATTTTTGAAGTATCTAATTGTTTTCAATAGTTTGTACCTTATATGTTCTGATGTCAAAGTACAGATCTCATAGGGTTGAGAGGAGACTGGATGACTGGAGGAGACTTACTGTTTTCAGAGACCTCCAGGATGTAGTGTATGAGAGGGCTGTTGCCATCAAAAGGCTTGGCCCAGGCCAGGTCAATGGCTCTTTTTTCCAATTTGCTCAACACGGCTGTGGGGTTCTCGGGAGCATGGGGGAGCTGCCTGCGGGGGAATCACAGGACAATGCCGATAAATAAAAAATAAGTCTCGATCACAGCAAACAGGCTTTGGGAGTAGGTGGGTCAGAGAATCCCTGAGCGCTTCGCTCCACTCTGAGCATTTCCAGTAAAAACGGCCTGAAGAAAAATAAAAAAAATAAAAGCTGAACAGAGACATCAGTTAGACAGGTGATGAAATGTGACTTGACAAGAGAGCAAAGACGGTTCCTTGTCAAGATGGACACACGGGCAAACAAAACGAGATGGATATTACCACAGGGAGGGAGAAAAAATGGATTGAAAGGCATTAGAAGACAGATAGGAGGAAATGCTCAGACAAAGACATGAATAAATGAGGCCAAAGCTGAGGATCATTAATACACGCAGCCATAAATTCAGATAAGCGCAGACAGATTGATATATAAACCTTAAAGCAATGAACGGATAGTAAGTCAGACAAAGAGGCAGCCAGCCAACACGACGGCCGATAGCAGGACGAAGACAGAAGCGCCGTCAGTTTGACGAATAGTTCCATGTCACATTCATATTCAGTTTAACCTTACTAACTCACCGCGGTCCAAAATGATATTTTTTTGGCAAAAACAATACAGAAGTGCATGTGTAAGAAAGGGAGTGTGTGTGAGGGGGTCACCAGGGGCTGGAAGAGTGTCAGGTGAGAATGAGGACAAGGGAAGGTGAGGAAGATCCGGTGTAATTTAAGTGGAAATGAGCCAGAGGTGTCGATAAGAACAGGCAGGACAGCAGGGAGAGGCTGATTGTGGTGAGGGTGTGGGTCGTTAGAGAATTCTGCGGACTACAGCGAAGAAGAAGACAAGAAAAGGTTGTGGAAGCAGTGAAGGCAGACCTGACTCGGAGGTGAGCGCTGCGGGAGTCGTTTCCTCCGACCGAGGTGACTCTGCACGTGTATGTGCCGATGTCACCGGACCAGGTCTGGGAGATGTGCAGGGTGCCGTCTACGTCCAGTCGCATGCGAGGGATGGACTGCACGTTGATCACAGAGCCATCTTTTTCCCAGACGTGCCTGGAAGACACACTTGTCATTAAGGTTCATGCTCAGCAATCCAGGTAAAACATCCAACAATTACCAATCAGGTCTTCTGGACAGTTTCTTTTTTTTGTTGAGAGACGTTTTGCTCTCAATAAGAAGGGCTTCATCAGTCTGAGAAGTGGCAAGCCGCAGACTGATGAAGCCTTCCAGATGGAAGATGAAACGTTTCTCCCTTAAAGAAACTGGTCCAGATAAGATGAAACTTTATTGTTTCCAAAATTGTGGCAGAAATTCTCCTTTGACACGCTCTACATTCATCAAGCACATACAAGAACCAGCAATAGAACATAATGAAAACCACATTATCACCATTAGTTACCACCATCAAGATGTGTCTATTTAGCTTTGTTTAAGAACATTACTGCAGATGGTACAAATGATTTCTTATAAATATTCTTCCTGGCCAGAGGGACGGTAACGCCTGCTTGATGGAAGCATCTGGAATCAGTTGTGCAGTGGATGTGAGGGGTCCTCGGTGATCAGGGTGGTTTTCTTGGTCACTGAGCGGCTGTAGATGTAGATTTCATGTGGATGAAATGATTCAACCTTTTTTGTTGTGATGACCTGGATGATTGAGCCTACAAACCTTTTTTTCCAGAACCATTTTGGCTTTGGTGTCCTCAGGCTGTTTCTGGGAGTAGCAAGTTGGCCATCTGGCCTAAAACGCACTAATTAGTTTTTAAATATTAAATTAGAAGAATTTTTATTTTCTTAGTTTGTGCTAATCCTGACATTTAGAAAAAGAATCAGCGCTTTAAGTTCTGACCTTAGATCTGAGGCACCTTGAGACTTTGATGGCAGAGATTTAATATACTTCTCTGCTTTAGTTTTTGTTCAAGTGTTTGATATAAAAACATAACATAGCATGGCACAAATAAACTGAAGAAATTGTATTATTGCTGTGACTAAAATAGATCCAGTATTTGTTGTGCTTTGCTGCTTTTGCAGCCTAACTACAGCTGAAAACGTCTTTAGAAAAAAGTTTGGTAATGTCTCACTCGGCTGTTATCTAACATCTGATTCACAGTTTTGATTAGACATGAGTAAAAATAGATTTATTTAATGCTGGAGTCTATCAAATCTTTTCAGAGGAGAAATTATTTACCCTCACTAGGGTCAGTGAGGGGACATGGGAGTCTACATGTGTTTTGTGGACTTGGAGAAGGCATTCCACCATGTTCCATAAAGTGCATTTTGATGGGGTTGTATGGGATTGGGGGTCTGTTGCTACAGGCCATTTGTTCCCTAAAAAACATTGCAAGAGTTTGGTTTGCATTGTCGGCAGTAAGTCAGACTCCTTCAGGGTGGAGTTGGACTCTGCCAGGCAGACCATAGTAACCGATTCTATTCATAATTTTTATGGACATAACTTTCAGTACAGCCAGAGGGTTCGGTGACCTCAGGATTCAGTCTCTGCTATTTGCAGATGATGTGGTGCTGTTGGCGTGTTGTGATCTTCAGCTTTCACTGGAGCGGTTTGCAGCCGAGTGCGAAGCGGCTGAGATGAGAATCAGCACCTCCAAATCTGAGGCCATGGAACTCTGTCGGTAAAAGGTGGATTGCTCTCTCAGAGTTGGGAGTGAGGTGCTGCCTCAAGTGGAGAAGTATAAATATCTTGGGGTTTTGTTCATGAGTGAGGGAAGAGTGGAGCAGGAGATCAGCAGATCAGCGCAGATCTACAGTATTGCGGAGTCTGTGCCAGTCCATTGTGGTGAAAATGGATCTGAGCTGCAAGGCAGAGCTCTCCGTTTAGTGCTCGGCCTACGTTCCTACCCTCACCTATGGTCAAGAACTCTGGGTAGTGACCGAAAGAACGAGAATGTGAACACAAGCGGTCAAAACTTTTTTTTTTCTGCAGGGTGGTTGAACTTCTAACCTACAAAGCTCTCAACAACCTAGCTCCATCTTACATTTGAGATTTTGTTGTTCCATATTTTCCAAACAGAGCATTTCACTCTCAGACTGCAGGTTATCTCATGGTTCCTATAGTTTCCAAAAGCAGAATGGGAGGAAGATGTTTCAAGTGTCAGGCTCCTCTCTTGTGGAACCAACTTCCAGATCCTGTCCATGAGGCTGACACATTGTCCAGTTTTAAGACTGGGCTTTAGACTGTCCTTTTTTATAAATCCTATAATTAGAATTGGCTTATTATGCTGCCTTAAGCTTAGACTACTAGAGGACAAACTGACCTAATTTCCTTAAATTCGTTGTTAAAATGGAATTAGTTTTCATTTGATACTATTTTTATCTTAACATTTGATTCTTGACCTGCCATTGTGTATCTGATCCTACAAAACCCAGCTGGTTGAAGCAAATGTCTGCTTGTCCTGAGCCTGGTTCTGCTAAAGGTTTCTTCCTCATGAGGGAGTTTTTCCTTTCCACAGTCACCTTCATGCTTGCTAAAGATGAGAGTTCTGTGATGGAGTTAAACTCAAAGCAGTCTGCTCCTCAGATAAAGTGCTAAATTAATGTTTTCTCCGGGTACTCCAGTTTCCTCCCACAGACCAAAAACATGCATGTTGGACTGATTGGTAACTCTAAATTGCCCCTAGGTATGAGTGAGTGAGAGAGTGAATGGTTGTTTGTCTCATTTGTCTCTATGTGTCCCTGTGATGGACTTGCAACCTGTCCAGGGTGTACCCCGCACCTCGCATAGTGATTGCTGGACACGGGCACCGGCGACCCCCGTGACCCAAAATGGAAGAAGTGGGTAAAAGATAATGGACGGATGGATGGATGTTTCTGTTCCGTGCCCTGAGACGACTTCTTTTGTGACTTGGTGCTATATAAATAAACTGAATTGAATTGAACTGAATAGAAGTTCACTTATCCAGGAGAGACTCGAAGTAGAGCTGCTGCTCCTCCACATCTGTCGAGACTCTCAGTGGCTTCTTTATTATTGTGACATGAAGTAAAAGTTCCTTGTTAGTCCACAACATGGATTTGATTTGTTGCTCTTGTATTTTCCAAACTTATTATTTTTTTCTGTGTATTGTTGTGACATCCCTACCCAGTGTGAAAGTTCTACGTATTCACTCCAAACTTTGATTTTTGTTTTTGGTGTATTTTCATGGCTGTGTTACTACAGCGCCACAACCAGGCCTGGCATAGGTACTGCAGCATTTTGGGTCTTTTTTTTGTTTTTGTTCGTTTGTTTGTTTAAAAATATATATTTTTAGAGATAAAGCTATTAGAAATCATTCTGGTTCAAGCTACATTACATTATGTCTATCATTCTGTGTTTTCTGTTAGTTATTCTTAGTTCTTAAGAGTTTATTTTTATATGTTTGGACATCCTTGCGTTTCACTTGTCATCCGTTCAGTCTCGTCAGTATTTTCCCCCTCAAGTAGTCAGCTCCAGCCTCTCCTGCTCTCACCTGATCCTCGTCGTCCCTCCCCAGGTGTTTGTCATTATCTGTCATTAGTGTTTCTTTAAGTTCAGCGTCTTCATGTTTCTTCCCTGTCCGTTCATTGTGCTTCCCGCAGCCGTTCATGATTTGTCCCTCTGTGCCTCTACGAATTGATTATTCATGCAAGTTTTGTTGCAACGTCAGCCTTGGTTTTGTTGCGTTAATAAATCTATTTTCTTTACTTTTACCTCCGAGTTCCTCGAGTCAGTCTGCACCCAGGGTTCAGCGCTCCTAACCAAAACATGATAATGTTGAAATAAGGTTTGAATTTTGAATAGAATCCATGTAATGGTAGACAAAATTATTAATTCCGTTTTCTTGATTTGATTCAACAACTTCGTTTTAGTTGTTACATTTAAATGTAACTGACAATAACATTTAACAAATCTAAACTTAATAGATTTGTGTAATCCAAAATATTTCTATAAAAATCAAATGTTTTTTTAAGTGTACGAACAAGTTGTGTATTAGTGGTTAACTCTTTTTGACCGTAAAGCCATGTGAGGATCTGTTTTCTGTTGAGAAACAATGGAAGATAAACACATTATTAGCATTTCATTAAGGTATTTCATCTTCTTGTCTCTGCCTCCTCATCAGGGCTGACCTGCCAGCGTGTCAAAACGCCTAATGGCTGCAAATCAAACAGTGGACTCACATTCATCAGAACTACACAGCTCAAACGCAGCTTCAGATGCAGCTCTCTCGCTTCAGCATAAAGGGAAAGAGTAGTCTATTGATCACTGGGCACACGGCTGCATATCAGGAAATTTTTTGATTGAAAGAGTTGCTTTGACTTGACAACAGATACCATGTGAAGGTATCTGACAAACCATTATACATCCCTGCTGGTTACAAAATGTAAAACAGTCACGAGTTTCAATGTTTGAGCAGTGTTTTTATGATAATTCTGTGCCATGGATCACGAAAGGGAAGAAGCCAAAGGTTCCCTATTAAGTTTGTCAATTCAGGTTGTTTTAAATGTTCAAACATTCAATTACTGTATTTTTCACTGTATAAGTTGTGTTTTTTTTTGTTTTGCAAAATTTGCATGCCCTGCGACTTATAGGTCGAAGCAACGTATTTATGGAGTTTTCCCATATTTATAAACCAATTTTTGGCTGAAATACTGTATGACCATTTTCATTCATTCTGATTAAAAAACTTAACACTACCATTTTCAGCCACTAGATGGCACTTGAGCAGTATGGCATGCCTTTGTATCATGTAATAGGTAAAAGTGGCTATTAATGACACAATCGGCTTGCCATAGTTGCCACCATCGTCTGACTGGAGTAATTGAATCAGCTTCATTTTGGTGCGCCGCCCCGGCTAAATGAAGCCGATTTGACCATTGAAGTGCATTTATTAAGTAAAAGTTAATTTAAGACGCACCTTTACTATAAAATCGAACAACAAATAATTGTTTTTAGGTGGTTATCTTGTTAAATTTCAAAGAAATGGACAGTGAGTCGCCCTCTGCGTGTTCGTGTTTCCATGTATCGGCTTTTGAAAATGCAGCTGATTTGACCGTCAAAGTGCATTTATTAAGCAAAAGTTAGATTTAGACACACATTTACTATAATTTTGAGCAAACAAATAATTGTTTTTAAGTGTTAATCTTGTTCTATTCTTGTTAAAGTCCTCCCGTGCACGCTCCCGCGGCCACCATTTGGCAGCCAATCGATTTTTAGCACAACACCGGCCCACATTTCCAGGTTGTCAGCGGTGACGTGTAACAAACGTGACGCATCAGTGGTGAAGCATCATAGATGCGACGTATACAGCGAAGCAACATATTTATGGATTTTTCCACTTTATTAGACATATTTGGACTGATGCGACTTATAGGGTGGTGCGACGTGTACGGCAGAAAATACGGAAGTTCATTTTTTGTGTGTGTTTTGTAAATTAATTTTAAATTAAACTATACAATAAGTTAAACTGTCAGGACTGATTCCTTATTACACGGCTCAAGCAGAAATGGAAGGTGAAAAGGTTATTAATAAATATTGTCTTACTTGTTGTAGAAAGCTCTTTGAATGACCTCAGTTTCAAGAAATATAGCTCAGTCTTGATACTACTGATGAGCTGAAAAGGCTATAACCAAAGTGGATTGTTGTGGCTTTAAAACAACGACAATCTCAAATGTTTTATAGAGGTTCATGCACATGCTGTTTTATAAACCTTTATGTTGTCAGTTTTGAAGTGCACGGTCAGTTACATTGAATTTTAAAGCAACTAGCTGTATCATTTCAGGCAGGAATACATTATTGTTTCAGCAGCGTTGACTGAAAACACTAAGATTTTATAGTTTTGTCCTGTTTTAGTTGTTTAAAGGGAAAAACAGTCCCGTTTAATCTTGACCCACATATACTAGATAATAGCTAATCAATTCTGTCATAATTCAACTTTGCTTTTCCAAACTGAGGTGATTCAAAAGGCTATCTACTGCAGGTGAGATATTAGTTGCTTATCCAGCGCAACTGCACTTTAACACATCAGAACACTCCCATAAACATCCATCCATCGTCTTTACTCGTCTCTTCCTTTTCAGGTCACAGGGGTCACTGGTGCCCATATCCAGCAGTCACTGCGAGAGAGGCGGGAGACACTCGGTTCATGTCACAAGTCCATCACAGGGACACAGAAACAAACGAGACAACCATTCACTCGCTCACTCACACCTAGGGACAATTTAGAGTTACCAGTCAGACTAACTTGCGTGTGTTTGGTATGTAGGAAGAAACCAGAGTACCCGAAGAAAACCCACACATGCACCGAGAGAACGTGCAAACTCCACCCAGAAAGACCTCCAGGCCAGGACTCAATCTAGTGACCTGCTCGCTAAGAGGCAGCCAACTGAGCCACCGTGCCACCCTCTCGTAAACATAAATGTTCAAATTCAACCAGTTCAGAAGGAGAAATAAAAAAAAATCACTATTTACAAATCTCTAAATTTAAACTTAAAAATAAAAAGTGTTTGAAACCATTTTATTACAATTTAATTATTTGCTGCAGCCCTAATTTCTGTCAAGCCTCCAAACTCCCATTAAAAAATAATTAACAAAATCCCTATAAGTGATGTTCTCATTAACACGTGGGATCTTACATATATGTAAATAAAGTGATATTAACTTGTAAAAAAAGAAAAAAAGTTGACAATCTTTTGCTTCCTACAGTAAACCTTCAAAGTCGTCAGGTAGAGTACACAGCTACATATTTAACCTGCTTTAAAAATAAATGGATTTGAGAACATTGTCAGCTTCTTAATCTTCAGAGTTCAATTTACAGAAAATGAGTTGGGAGAAAAAACAGTTCTTATGACCCGATCCATCCAGCTGATACACAACTACACAACATATCTCCTCATATATACGTGTTTAATTCCTCTGAGACTGCATGCAGCCGCATTCTGAATCAAATCATTTTAAAAGGAACATAAAAAGGCCATTGCAACAATCTAAAGTACTTGTTATAAATGCATATATTTCTTCCCAATCAGGAGACAGAGCTAAGAAGAGCTGCACTTTTCTGTTTCTGATAAGCAGTTTTCAGGAGATCAGCTGTTCCAACATGATGTAACTTAAACAAAAACCTCTGTGTTTGTGAATGCACCCTTACCTGATAATTACACTGGGGTCGTGTGTGACTCCACAGGTCATGATGGCTTTAGTTCCTTTAATAACACTCTGGTCCTGTGGGGGTGTGGTAATCCGAGTGCGAGCTGCGGAGACAAATCAAAGACTTGAGGGACTAGAGAACAGCCAAAGAAACTTCAAATGAACAGAGACAGAAAGGAAAAATGAAAAGCGAAATTCAGAAAACTAATTTTGACTAAAAGACATGCTGGGGATTGTGATTTCTTTCCTGACGGCTTGTCAAAGAAAAGCCCTCAATTATTTCTTCAAGTGAAAGAACTCGTCAAGCGTCTTTGTTAAAGACACCCCTCATTAAAACCTTCTGTTTATTTCCACCAGATCTTCTTTACGTCAACCCATCAGAACGTCACTTTTTAAATAAGGCTCAAGAACAACCTCTGGAAACAATAGTGTTTTTTCATGTTTAATGGGGACAAAAAAAAAAAAAAAAAGAGCAGGTTTACACAAAAATGCTGTAGTTTCCATGTCAGTCAGGTTGCCAGATAAGAAATTATGAACTATAGTACTGTCTCTTTAAAATAATAGTATTTTGATCTAAACTTTCCGATGTGCTGAGTAAAGATATTCTAAGATGAGGTGCTGTGTTCGTTGAACACGTGCACAGAAAAGGAGTGGTAAATAAGGCATTTTAAATTTATCTGGCAACCCTCATCGAACATGCAGCGTCTGCATAATAGTCAGTCCAAACTGGTGAAGACACTAACGCCTCTTTGGTCGCTGGATTTTATTAGTTTTGCTCCTACATGCTGAAAAAGGGTGAGTAGCACAAAAACACTCTGCTCTCTGCCATTTATTATTACGATGGAGCTTTAGGGCCACGCTAAGAAAAAAATAATTAAAAGCCATAAAATTACGAGAATAAAGTTGTACGAGTTTTTGCAGCTCTCGTGTTTTGTTTATTTTCCCACGAGTCAGATCCATGACGCGACCTGTCAATCAATCCAGTAGGCGTGTCAGCAAATGACCAATCCGAAGCTGAATGAGTCGTAATGTTATCCAAACTCCGACTCGATAAAACAGGGTTTACCGCATTTTAACTGTGGTAAAATGAAAAATGCTGAGCATCTTGTTAAGTTTTCAAGTTATACTTTGGTATTGTTTTACAAATAAAGAGATTGTTAATCTGTTAGCACATCAGCATCAGATTATCAGTATCAGGACTTTGAACCTGCTTACGGTACGGTGGTACGCTATGATGGGCTGCAGCAGCTCTCTGCAGGTAAGGAGCATTCAGCTTCGGATTGGTCATTTGCTGACACGCCTACTGGATTGATTTACAGGTCGTGTCGTGGATCCGACTTGTGGGGGAAAAAAAAAAAACGAGAGCTGCAAAAAAAAAAAAAAAAAAAAGAAGTCTCGTACGACTTTATTCTCATAATTTTACGGCTTAATTTTTTTTTCTTAATGTGGCCCTAAAGCTGCGTCGTATATAATAACTGTTGTTAGTGCAGAGAAACACAGATTTGGACTGCAGCCGTCTGTTGTGCACATGTGCCACTTCACACTTGCGGAGCATTTGACACCTCCGGGGGGGGGGGGGGGTGTTTCCCCCAAACATCTCCACTCTGAGACCTGGAACGAGGGCTGTCGTGTAAATGAATGGCCTAACAACAGCAGTAAAACTGCAGTCGTTTATTGTTTTTTTTGTTTGATTTTTTTTTAAACAAGAATAACAAGCCTCAGCCATCTCCCTCCTGTCCACTCACCCCAAACGATGATGTCAGCGGACGCCTCATCGATGCCCCGGGAGTTGCTCGCCATGCAAGTGTACGTTCCGGCATCAGAGATGTGTGAAGGCGAGATGAGCAAACTGCCAGATTCAAGAAGGGTGAACCTGGGCAGCTGCACTGAACCGCTGGCCAACACGCGCTCACCTGAAACATGCAGATAGAAGATTAGTTAGAGTCATTTTTGTGTTGTCCCAAGTCAGTGGCAGCCATCTTGAATTGTAGTTCTTCAGCGGTCGATGTTCATATTACTGTTTGCAAGTTGCATTAGAGGTTCATGAAATATTTGGGTTTTACGTGCACACAGAACGGATCAGAAACATTTCATTCTCCTTTGCCTTTTGGCAGTGAACAATAATATGTGAGGAGATGCACATAAAAGAGAAAAATAAAACAAAAAGTGGATTTTACAAGTTTTTCCTGATCTGCTGTTTGAACGCAGCCTGGATCACCAGAAATCCAGCTGAAGGAATCCAATCAGGCTTTATTTGTTAAGCCACAGGGTCCCATGTGTGAAGGATGACAGAGTTGATAATCTCAGGGTGTTATCTGTATGTGCGCATGCATGTGTGTCACCGAGACCTTTCTGCCAAGTTATAGCCGGTCTCGGAGCTCCGGAGGTTTCACAGTGCAGGATGACCGACATCCCATCAATCACGGTGCTGTCAGAGGGTCCTGCTGTGATGTTCGGCGCGATGCCTGCGAGGAAACAAAAACACACAGAATAAGGAGGACAGGAACAGGAGAGAGGGTCACACAGGTGAACATTTAAAGACCAAGCAGTGCTTAAAGGAATGTTTACTGCCTGCTGCTTTTTATCCTCGAGTTTTAAACCAAAATCACCTCATGCAAAGATTAAACCTTGTAAATGACATTAGGTACAATCTCATACGATGCTGTGAGTTGAGTTAGTGCTCAGTAAACATATTAAGGATGATTAATCTACTCCCACATCCAAATTTGCTCAATATGTATAGTTTTTGTTGGCTTAGGCTGATTAGTTGTGGCAGCCAACTTGATTTTTAGTTGACATTGAATGTTATTCAGTTTAATATACACTGCCTGGACAAAAAAAAGCCGCCAACAAAAACAAAGGTCACACACTAATATTTTGTTGGATCGCCTTTAGCTTTGATTACAGCATGCATTCACTGTGGCATCGTTTCGATAAGTTTCTGCAATGTCACAAGATCTATTTCCATCCAGTGTTGCATTAATTTTCCACCAAGATCTTGCATTGATGACTAGGTGCTAGGCATGATGGGTGCATCACTTCACCTGCCTGTCTTCTTACGCTGATGCGCCCATCACTCTGGAACAGGGTAAATCTGGACTCATCAGACCACATGACCTTCTTCCATTGCTCCAGAGTCCAATCTTTATGCTCCCTAGCAAATTGAAGCCTTTTCTTCCAGTTAGCTTCACTGATTAGTGGTTTTCTTAAGGCTACACAGCTGTTCAGTCCCAATCCCTTGAGTTCCTTCACATTGTGAGTGTGGAAATGCTCTTACTTTCACTATTAAACATAACCCTGAGTGCTACTGTTGTTTTTCTTTGATTTGATTTCACCAAACGTTTAAGTGATCGCCGATCACGATCGTTCAGGATTTTTTTCCGACCACATATCTTCCTCGAAGACGATGGGTCCCCACTATCCTTCCAATTTTTTAATAATGCGTTGGACAGTTCTTAACCCGATTTTAGTAGCTTCTGCAATCTCCTTAGATGTTTCCTCTGCTTGATGCATGACTGATTTTTTGGGGTCAGGCAGTGTATATGGCCAATTACTATTTTCCAAGAGTTTTGATATCCAGTGGCTCATGAGATTTGAGAAAACAGACAAACACAAGTAAAAACAATGCCTTTTCGTTTTAAATGGGAAATGGGCTGTACTTATAGAGGATGGCATTGCAGAGGGAGGCTGTGACTGTGGGGAGCAGCCCTCCTCCCACCTCGGACCTCTACACATCACGATGCAGGGGGAAGGCGCTCCGCATCATGAAGGACTCCAATCATCCTGCACAGTCTGTTCCAGCCCACACATATGTGTGTATGTATATATATTTATACTATTTTGTATTTATTTGTTAATCGTTAGGCTTCTTGATCTGGGACCTGAATCCAAATTTCACATCATAAACATGCAAATGCGAGCTGGTATGACAATAAAAATCCTTGAATCCCTATATAACACCTTTCTATCTTAACAAGACGCTCAAAGCGCTTTACAACACAATCTGTGCCTCATTTACCCATTCATACAGCACTCTACTAGACCTCTACAACGTTAATTGAACAAATCGTTCTAAAGAGACTAATCAGTATCTTAACACATTCATCCAGCGATGGGACACACATCGGAGGCAATGAGGGGTTAAGTGTCTTGCCCAGAGACACTTCAGCAGGTGACTGCCAGTGGATTCGAACCCCCAACTCTTGCATTGGAAAACGACTGCTCCAACCACTCGCCACAGCCGCCATTAAGGCCATAAAAACAGTTGAAGACGCTTTAGACGTTTTTCCTGTAAGCGCTGACCTGTTGCATCCCAGCATTTAGCCAATGCTTTATTCAGCTAAACCCAAAAGAACAAACTTCAGGATTGGCACCACAACTGCATGCCGACTATATAGTAAATATGAAAACGAGGAGCGAAAATGACCAGTAAATGAAAAAAATAAATAATCACTCCTAAGCCACCGATAAAGGTGACTAAAACTCTTTGTGATGTGCAATACATCAAGTCTTCCAGGATGACAGGAACGTGCGTCACTCCCAACAAAAAGACAGAGCTGGAAGGTTTGTTGCTGGATCTGAGGAGATATCAAGACACAGAAAGATGAAGCATGCATGAGTCAAGAAAGAGCGAGATAATATGATCTGTGGAGAGACGGGAGAGAAAGAGGAGAAGCAGCGTCGGGGGGGAGAAATGGGATGGAAAGAGTGATTCAGAATATTATGAACTCTGATAACAAGGTGCGTCGTGGAGTGAAAGCAGCGGGAAGTGAGACGCGCTGAAGTAAATTACATGTCAGAAACTTGCTGAAAAGACGCACAGCGAGAGGACAATTACCGCTGATTTTCAAATTCCAGCGGCGACACGAGCTCGGATAAAAAGTCATCTACAAATTCACGGTTATGTTCGGAGGTGAGCGAGATCAACAAACATGGGTTTTCAACCAAAAGTCACATCAGTGCAGAGCAAGACGTGTGCAGCTAATTTAACTTAAACACAAGTGAATCATTCAGAAAATGAAAATATTTTGACGATATCTAATCATCTAAAAATGCAGCTTTTATCTTTGTCTTTCTATATGAAAAGTTTAATTACCGTATTTTTCGGAGGATAAGGTGCACTTAAAATCCTTTAATTTTCTCAAAAATCAACATAATCTGGTGCACCTTATGCATCAATTATGGTTGTGCTTACTGACCTCAAACCAATTTTATGCGGTTATTGTGAATGAGTTGAATAAAGTTTTTGACATCTGACTGTTTTGTTTCGCTTAATGCGTCTTATGTATGAAAACAGACTTGTTCATTGACATTGCGCCTTATAGTCCAAAAGATATGGTACTGAATATGTATATTAGTTTGTGTGTTGTCTGTTGTTCTGTCTGTACAGCACTTTGGTTGGCCTTGTAGCTGTTTTAAGTGCTTTATAAATAAAGTGGTTATGGTATGGTAAAATACCTAAAATGCACCTTTGTGGTGTTTCCTGCTGCTACATGTGCTTTTAGATCCTATTTCTTGGTTAACGAAGACTTAAGACCTACATATTAAATACATTATGGCTCATTGGGATTAACCTGTATAAATAAAGGTTGAATGAATGAATTATAAAATATGTTCTTGTGCGTTACTGAACCATAATGATGTTTGAACTTTGTGTTTAAATTAAGCCCTAAGGTGATGTTTAAATTATTTTAAGTGCCACAAGATAAAATAAAAAAGATAATGCTATTACAATTGAATTGTTTTTGCTTCAAGTATGTATATATTTAATATGGGGAGTCCTCAGCAAGTTTAGGAAAGAGAAATAATCCATCACAAGATTTTAAACTCACTCAGAATGTGTATTATTTCATACTAGAGTTTAAAAAATAGAAAAGTTAGCACAGTATCTATTCTATTCTTGGGCACATGTGCCACTTCAGACTCATTAGTCATCTCTATCCAGACCACAGGAGGTCAATGGAAGATAAGAAATCAAATAAAAATACAAAATTTCTGCTTTTCTTTTGAAACCGTATTTTGCAGTGCTTTTATTTTGAAGGCCAGTGGGGGTTTACGTACTTCATTCTCTCCATTGAGTCTGTAGCAGAGTTGGAGAGATAAAAAGAGGAATATCCAAAAATATTGTACTAAAAAAAAACTTTGCTTGTTATTTGAACATTAATTTTTAGGAAGTTGGTAATAAAAAAAAACACATACATTTTAAAGAAAAAGCACCACATAACAAAAATTCACTAGTCACATATTCTTGAATGATACACTGAGGACAGCGTGTTTTCTGCTTTTAATTCCTGTTTGATTAGAATGGTTAAAAATGAGCCCATTTAAAGCGTTAAAATGGTCCTAATTTGCCTTTTTCCTATTCAACGTTGCACTTCATTTCCACTCGTGGAAAGTAATTACACCTTGTCATCTCTGAATCTGACAAAAAGCTTTGGTGAGCCTTTGAGGATTTAACACGTTTCTGCAAAAACAGAGAACAGAAAAAGAAAGGGAAAAGGCCGACGCTGAGTTTTAACAAAACACCGTAACAACTTAAAAACAAGTTTCCTAAAAAGTTCCTGGAGAACTTACTGGTAACAGCCAGGTACGTGTTGGTCTGAACTTCTCCTGCCGGGTTTCTGGCAAAACACTGAAACATGCCGGTGTCGTCGGGCAGCAGGCCGTTCACCTGCAGGCTCCCCCCCACCAGCACCCTATACCTCGGCGTCTTCGCCGGATCTATGGGGGAGGCATCCTTATACCACACAATGTCAGGCTGGGGGACGCCTGCAACGAGGGTTTGGATTACAGATAAGCAATAATAACTTATTTAAATCACTTTTCAGAATTAATTCATACAAATTCAACAACTGGAGGAGGGCTCACCCTTTGCTTGGCAGGGAATATCCACTACCTTCTCCATCTCCGCCGTGATGTGTTTCTCTGGTTCCTTTATAAACTGTGGGGGTTCTGACACAACGAGGAAAGATTAATACAACAATAATTACGATGCATATCACCCAGTGATTTTCGTGCCACAGTTTAAACTGGTTTTATGCTGAGAAACGATGGAGTTTTAGTCTAATCCTGAAATTTTATGTCATGCACGAACTAGTGTAATGTCACAGGATGGGTTATAAATCTCACTCAGCTATGACAAAGTCAAATTTTACATTAAAATCTAAAAAAAAAAAAACAGAGTTTAAGCCATATTTTGCTTTTTAGGCACAGCTGTGGCAGGCATCATGAAGTGGGGTGGCTCCAAAAGTTAATCAGAGGCAACAAATGATTAGTTACTACAAGTTTTTTTTTTTTTCCTACTCATCCAGTGGGGATGTGTTGCCAATTTACAAACACGTGGACATGCCCTGAAACGTTATCAACCGCCTTCGCCTTTGGCCGTCAAACGATAATAAGCTTGGAGAGAAAAGCCTCCGTCAGCAGTATGAAGGAAAAGGTTAACCCCACCTTCAGCTCTGAGCCCAACCTTGAAAACATCAAAGTGTTTTCAGTGGTCTGGAATCAAAGTGACTTGAGCGATGCTATTAAACCATTTCTTGAGGCCAACCATTAGTTTCATCCCTTTTAAATCAATAACGCTTTCTTGTTACTGCCGCACAAATTCACAGATGGGCTAAAGCCCAAGTCATGTAGTGACAGATTTACATCAGGTTTTTACATTTCTTTAACTTTGTAAACCTAAATACCAAGACGTTTCACTAATGTATGTAAACATAAATAGCTTTATGTTCACATTTTTATGCTAAAGCACAAACAAACCCCTATTTGGTCAACATCTATATGGAATTTAAGGCTTTCTGTATCGAGACATAATAAAAAACATGAGATATTTCATATTAAACTTAGGCCTGTCACGATAACTTTTGCTGGGCGATTAAGTGTCTCAGAAATTATTGCAATAAACTATAATATTGTTTGAATTTTGACAATAATTACTAATTATTGTCAAATTTAAGAAGAAATGTTGGTTAATTTTTGTGTGTAGTACCTTTGTTGACCACCGGATAGCAGTATAAGACTATTTGAATCTAAGGATGGATAGTGAGGGAATGAGCAGCGTGTCTCTTTAAGAAAAATGGGAGGGAGGCCCCTTGACGTGACATGGACCATCTCTCATTCCTGTTTTTCGGTGTTCACAATGGCAGACAGTCAGTGTGGTTTGAGCTCTTTAGCATAGGATTTGTCACACAAAGCTTTTAATAAAAAATTATGATTAATAATGGATTTGGTACCTGGATGATTGAGCATGAACTTTGTTGTCTTCAACTGACAGTAGCACAATTTCCACCGGTGCCCTGTTTGTCAAGAGCACTAGTGGCGGTCGTTAAACCGGGCCTTAATTGATCCGGTATGGTGTTGCAAAGATGAACTCGCATGTTAGTTTTGACAAAAGTACTTTACATTGGATGCCCTTCCTGACACAACCCTCACCATTTGCCCGGACTTGGGACCGGCAGAAGAGATACACTGGCTTGTGCTCCCTAGTGGTTGTATAAAAAATTATGATTGTGTAATAATTAAAGCTGGGAATAAAATAGCCATAATAGAAATGTAAATGGTAAAGCACATAGAACATATGGGGAAACAAGTGTTGAACTTGTTTTACATAATCAGAAACAAAGCTTCTCATCTCTGTAATGCTTGTGATTTTACACCCATAGCTGCGATTAGTCACATCATAAATGACTTTAAATGGGGTTTAAATTTTTAATACCTGTTTGTCATAGATAAGAAGAGTGCGAATTTGTGTGAAACCACAGTGGTAACAGGTGTAATTAGGACACCACTAGCTGCAAATGTGAATGAAGAGACAAAACTATGACAGCGCCACAAATAGTAGTTAAAAATGATAAAACATGTTTCTTACCAAGCACATGAAGATAGGCTCCAGCACTGACTGAAGGCACGCTGCTGCTTCGGAGAATGGCCTCACACTCGTAGAAGCCGGCGTCGCTCACCACGGGGCTGAGGATGGTCAGTCTGCGGTTGAAGTCGCTCAAACCACTGGTCACCAACACGCCGTTTTTACGCCAGGAGATACTCAGCTTGATAAGAGGTCTACACACAGAACACAGGAGCATCTGAGGTGTCAGTGTCTTCTAAAACAGAAGTGGGCTAACCTTTGAAATGATGTGATTAATGAAAACAGTGCTCAGTGTGGGCCAGTACTGAATGGGACACATTGCCATCATTTCTAATGCTGCAAGTGTACCACAATTTGTAATAAATATGCCAGTATGCAGGTTTCAGTTTCACCAACTGCACGCAACAAATCTTATATACTACATTACCCACAAGACACTTGATGAAAACAAGTCATGACACACTCAACACTGCTTCTGACTGGGTCAAATATAAAATTAGGAATTTAGGTGATACATAAGTCATGGAGATCAATGATTGCATAAAAGTTAACCACCAGGAGCCAATCAGAGGTACAGAGTGTGCACTGGGACACTGAGGACCTTAATCCATACAGTCCGATTCTTACTGTAAGTAAACAGTAAATCTTGGCAATTAAAGTCTTGGTAATGCTTAATATGAGAGTTGAGCAACATCTCCAGTTACTTGGCTTCTGTGCAACGTTCCCTTCCCATTGGGGAACCCCTCCACTTTGGTTGGCAGTGAATGGAAATTCTTTTTGCTAAGAAAACCACCTCAAACAAGAATACTGAATTATTTTCAAGCTTTAAGGTGTCTAGACAAATAATTATTCAATGTCACTAACAATCAACAAAAACTGTTAAATTAAAATTCGTACTAATATAGATTGCAGTTCATCAGACTGGGTGAACAGAGCCACATGATGGCATGAAGTGTCATAAATCCCTGGAGGAATATATTTCCCACAGCTGTTCTGTTCTCATTCACACAAAGTATTTGCGCTGTTTCTTATCCCCACGTTGAGCATGAAATGTGACCACATGGTTTTATGATTTGTACCTGGCGTTGGCAACACACTCCATTGTGACCTCTGAGGTGCCTGTGACCACGCTGGTGTTCCTGGGAGGGATGATGATAGTGGGGGCGATTGGATCTGCTGGACCACCAATGTCTTGATAGAAAGACACATAATATGAACATAACAAAAACAATGTCAGACTCCATTTATGTTCAAAGCAAATTTAGCGTTGGCCAAAAGCACAATTCAGTAAACCAAGTGTAAAAAAAACCCAAACAAAAAAAAAAAACAGTTTTAATACCAATTAATTTAACCAGACTGAGTATAACATTAGAAACGACAGTTAAAAGCTCCATGAAACAATTTGAGAGTGATAAAGTTTAAATTTAAAGCATTAAATGAACAGTGTGATTGAAACAAGACAATTCAATCCCAATGAAAAGAAACCAGTTTTTAATTGTGTTTTGGAGCTCGTGGTTTGAGCAACATGTATTGGAGTATGGAGTATTTTCACGCCTCTTACACCACCACATGCAGAACTGCATAGTTACTACAGCATTTTGGGTCATTTTTGGTGTTTTCTTATGGATGAAGTAATGTCTTAAAAACTGTCATTTTTACAAAGATATTTTAAGAAACGGTACATAACAAGATTGCTTTGGCAAAACTGTGTTTCTGTGAGTACGAAATACCGTATTTTTTGCCCTTTAAGTCGCAGCTTTTTGCATAATTTACATGCCCTGCGACTTATACGCTGAAGCAACGTATTTATTGATTTTTTTCACATATTTATAAACCAATTTTTGGCTGAGATATGACCGATTTCATTCATTCTGAATGAAAATAATGAACACTGCCATTTTCAGCCGCTAGATGGCAGTCGAGCTATATGGCATGCCGTTGTACCATGTAATAGGTAAAAGTGGCTATTAATGACACAATCGGCTTGCCACAGACTGCCACGGTTGTCTGCCTGGAGCAACAGTCAAATCAGCTTCATTTCGCTGCGCCACCCCGGCGATTTAATAATAATAAACAATAACAATAAACAATAATAATAATTTGACCACTGAAGAGCATTTATTAAGTAAAAGTTCAACTGAGACACACCTTTACTATAAAGTCGAGCAAATAAATAATTGTTTTTAGGTGGTTATCTTGTTACATTTCGAAGAACTGCACAGCGAGTTGCCCTCTGTGCGTTCATATTTCCGCTCATCGGCTTTTGAAATGCAGCTGATTTGACCGTTAAAGTGCATTTATTAAGGAAAACTTAGACTCAGACACGCCTTTACTATAATTTTGAGCTAACAAATAATTATTTTTAAGAGTTAATCTTGTTAAATTCTTGTTAACATTATCCCATGCACGCTCCCATGGCCGCCATTTGGCAGCCAATCGATTTTTGGCACAACACCGGCCCACATTTCCAGGTTGTCAGTGGTGCCGCTAACAAATGAGATGTGTCAGCGATGACTCAGAATAGATGTGACATATTTATGGCTTTTTCTACTTTATTAGACATAATTGGACTGATGAGACTTATAGGGTGGTACAATGTGTACGGCGGAAAATACTATATATATATATATATATATATATATATATATATATATATATATAT